TTAATTGCTTGTTGATCTCGGTTAGACGACTAGGGTTAGCAATCTAATGCTCGTAGATCGTTTATTCCGTATGTCGATTGATTATCATCCCGTTATGGTTATGGCATGAGACTCCGTTGATCTAGTTTGCTAATTGCTCGTCATTTGATCTTGCTTTTAGTTAATTGCTCGTTCTTAAGTGCTCAATTAGTGTTAATCAACCATCCAATCAATTGCTTAGAATGTTTTGGATTTTATATTCCCTTTTTTTGATTTGAGCGATTGAAAGTGAGTAAAGCTTCGAATAGCCTTCCTTCGAGATCGACCCGAGTCGGGTAGCTCGGTTATGCCTTGCCCACCAAATTTATACTAAACAAATGGCGCCGTTGCCGGGGAAGACAAGTAAGACGCCTAATTTGCTATTTGATTGTTCCTTTTTCTCGTGTTTTTCTTGTTTCTTGTGATTTTTGTTTAATTTCCGTATTTCTCTTTATTTCTCTTGATTTTCTAGGTAATTTCTGTTTTAGCTTGTGTTTTCAATTTCGATTTTCCATTGGTGCGTTCACGGGTATAGTTTGTGTTCTCTTTATTTCTCGTGCGTTCACGCGTAAACCCCGAGAGGAGCCACCGCCATTCGACCCCTTCGTTGAACTCAACATCGAGGAGTCACAACCGCAACCCGAAATTGAAACAATGGCGGGACAAGGAGAGCAACTTCCACAACCTCCCCCGAACATGAGGTACTTCGCACGACCTATCATTGGAGACAACACCTCGTGCCTCGTGCTCGGGGAGACGGCCCGAAACTATGATCTCAAGACCATCCACCTAAACCAACTCCAATCATTCTACGGCCTAGCCCAAGAGGATGCTCTCAACTTCATCGGAGACTTCTATGCAATCGTCAACACATTCCCACTCCAAGGCCTAACCGAGAATCAACTCCGAATGAGGTGCTTCCCATATACTTTGAAAGATATAGCGAAACCTTGGTTCATGACATTGCTTCCGAGCTTGCTCGATACATGGTAAGCTGTCTACGAGAAGTTCATGAGCATGTACTACTCTCATCAAAAGACCACCGACCTCCGGACTCAAATGGCTAGCTTTAGCAAAAATATCGGTGAGACCTTCCACGAAGCTTGGGAACGATTCAAGGGCTATCAACTCCAATGCCCACATCACCACTTTTGTCTCGGTGTGCTCAACCAATTCTTCTATGATGGTCTCCACCAAACTCTTCAATACATGGTTGATCACGCGGCCGGTGAAGACATAGGGAGCCATACGGAGGAGGAGATTGTATCTACGAGATGTTGAGTGAAAATTCTCAAAGGAAGAGCGTTCGTAAGAGGGACCCCGTGAATGAGGCTACACCATCGACCGGGTCCGGGTCATCGAACAATGCCGTTCTCGCCAAGCTTGCCTCGTTAGAAGAATAACTCAAGCAACTTCAGCTAAGGGATGCAAAATCGACCCAAGTTGTGATGGCCGAGGTATGCGGGTGTTGTGGAGAGGCCGGCAATGGAGTCCACGAGTGCCTGAATTATAT